GCGTCATCCCCCGATGGGACGTCGTCGACTGCCGGGGCGTCATCCCCTGATGGGACGTCGTCAAGGGCCAGAGCGTCATCCCTCGATGGGACGTCAATTGCTGTGGCGTCATCCAGCGATGGGACTTCGTCAACTGCCGGGGCGTCATCCCCCGATGGGACGTCGTCAACTGCCGGGGCGTCATCCCTCGATGGGACGTCGTCAACTGCCGGGGAGTCATCCCCCGATGGGACGGCGTCAACTGCCGGGCGTCATCCCTCGATGGGACGTCGTCAACTGCCGGGGCATCATCCCCCGATAGGACCTCATCAACTGCCGGGCGTCATCCCTCGATGGGACGTAATCGACTGCCGGGGCGTCATCCCTCGATGGGACGTCAATTGCTGGGGCATCATCCAGCGATGGGACATCGTCACAGCTGGGGCGTCATCCCTCGATGGGACGTCGTCAACTGCCGGGGCGTCATCCAGCAATGGGACGTCGTCAACTGCCGGGGCGTCATCCCTCGATGGGACATCAATTGCTGTGGCGTCATCCAGCGATGGGACTTCGTCAACTGCCAGGGCGTCATCCCCCGATGGGACGTCGTCAACTGCCGGGGCGTCATCCCTCGATGGGACGTCGTCAACTGCCAGGTCGTCATCCCTCGATGGGACGTCAGTTGCTGGGGCGTCATCCAGTGATGGGACGTCGTCAGCTGCTGGGGCATCTTCCCTCGATGGGACGTCAATTGCTGGGGCGTCATCCAGCGATGGGACATCGTCAACTGCCGGGGCGTCATCCCTCGATGGGACGTCAATTGCTGGGTCGTCATCCCTCGATGGGACGTTAACTGCCGGGGCATCACCCCTCAATGGGACGTCAATTGCTGGGGTGTCATCCAGCGATGGGACTTCGTCAACTGCCGGGGCGTCATCCCTCGATGGGACATCGTCAACTGCTGGGGCGTCATCCCCCGATGGGACGTCGTCAACTGCTGTGGCGTCATCCACCGATGGGACAACATCCATGGCCGGGGGCATCTTCCCTAGACCGGAATTTTCCCCTTTTCATTAATTCTATTTCCAGATAGAAAGAGTTGTTTTAAGAAAACAGATTCCCCTCTCTGTGTTTGTGAACAGGAGTGTTGGGTCTAAAGCCTTTCTCTGGTAGCTCTGCAGGAAGATTGCCCACCTCACCCTTGCTTTCTGTGGGTTCCAGATGCTTCCATTTAAAGGCGCATCTCTCCCTACTCTGCCTCACCCGACACCAGCTCTCCTGCACCCACTGGCTTTCTAAACGCTTTCTTCCACCTTCATCTCATTGAATTCAAGACTGAAAAATAGTCAAAAATTATAAAAAGGTGGGAGTAGGGGTGATCTGGAAATCCCTGCTATAATATTTTTAGAGGAATCTACTGGAAGCTATTTATGTTTTAAATAAAGCCATCCCTTAGCACTAGAATATCAAGCCGTTCTTTTTTTTAACAACTTTGAGATATAATTCAGATGTTTTTTATATGAACACATGTGTATGTGTGCATCTATACAACTATATACATATGTGTGTGTATATATATATATACATAGTTGTATATATATGCACATATATGTGTACAGTTATATATAGTTGTGTATATATGTACACACACACACACATATATATATAGTTGTTTTAGGACACAAAAATACTGATCTTGAGAAAAAGCATTGCTCTACGTAAATATTGAAACTATCTGGCATAGCAAAAGTCCCCTTGAAGAAAATGACTTAAAAAGCGCAGTGACAGAAAATGTTCAAAGCGTGTGTATGTGAAGAATGTGTCATGTTGGTCCCAGCTGTCAACATTGCCAGTGTTGCTGCTGTGCTCAGTGCAGACAGCTGTGGCATTTGTTCAGAACCTTCGGATGCTGAGGGTGGCTGAGCCGGCCCTGCCTGGGCCACAGACCCTAAATTGGACAGAGGGGAGGGACTGTGGGTCAGAATCAGCATAGTGAGGAGGGCGGGTGTGTGGAGCAGAGCTAACTGTGGATTCCCTGTCCCCAGGTGAGGTGCCTCCTCCTCTGTACAGTGACTGAGGAGGGTAAAGACAGGAGCCCTGGGTATGGTTCAGATGCGACTCCGCTTTCTGACACTCTGCTGTGGAGCCTGAGCTTTCCGAAGCCACCTTACATCTCCCAAAACCTTCACGGGAGCAGAGCCACTGCATTGAAATAAGAGCTGTGACCCGCCTGTTCCTGGGCCCCTCTGCCCTGAGTTCTCACAGCTGACCCGGGAGGTGACGGTGTGTCCCAGCAGGTCAGTGTTGCCACCCAAACCTACCCAGTGGGCTCCCTGATGACCAAACTCTCCTGGAGGCTCTGAGTCACTTTCCATCTGGGAGAGGCCATCTCAGGAGTGTCCCTCACTGTCCTACACTGCTCTCAGACCCCAAAGCCTTCCTGCCTCTGACACACAGGGGCATCTCAGGTGGAGAGCCTTGGCTGTCCTGATCCTCCTTTCTGAAGCTGCTCACGATGTCAGAGAGGGGTCAGGACAGCCTGGAATCCTAAATAAAGGGTGTGGGTTGAAGGGAGGTCACTTGTTCCTGCCAGCTGTGCCAGCAGAGCATGTGTGGCACTTTCTGTCGGCGTTTCCTGGGACCCAGAAGCGCAGAGTTTACTCACACTATTAACACTCATCATCAGCCACCTAAAAGCCTTTCATATTTTTCTTTATCACCATTTCTAATCATGTTTTCCTCCATCTCCGAGTCACCAACTCAAGTGTAAATCATGTGGTTCCACTCCGACTTCCAAATCATCTCTACAGATACTTAGAATTCATCGTGTGTTTCCATTTCTTAAGCAAATAATTTTTCCTCTTTAGGCCTCATCTGGTTTATTTGTTATTTTTTCTAAGATTTAAACTCTAAGATTTAAACTATCTTTTCTAAGACTTAAACATTTAATTTCATCCACGTGTGCATGTGAACCATTTCCATTACTTCCAAAGGGTCAGCATTGTGTAAAGTACATTTTAGTTTAAACCCTGTGCTGAGCATCCAGGTTGCTGCCGATACCACGTGACCAGTGAGGACTTCCTCCTGCGCGTTTCCCTCCATTCGTGGACCACAGTGGACTAGCTGCATGGAGGGTGCACACTTAATGTTACTATGTGCTGAGGGACATCCTGTTGGATGGCTGACCTCCTTAATATCCCAGTTGTAAGAGCTTCTGAAGCTCCACGGCCTGGCTGGAAATTTATTTTTATTTTTTAAATTGCAACATTAGTTGTCTGCTCAACACTCACTGGTTTCATGCCTCACTCGGAAGTAACTGCACAATCCTAGGGCATCCACAGGAACTTGTAGGTTTTGCCTGCCCCTGCCCCTGGCTGGCTGATTTCCAAACCCCCTCCCTGGCTTCCCGCTGAGGGGGCTCTGGCAGCTCCTGCCACTCCCATCCTGCTCCCCCCAAGCCCTTTTGCTTTGCTGCCTGCCCTTCCAGGCAGCTCCTCCCACACAGACTGGGCTCCACAGGGGTTTCTTTCACCTCAGATGGATCAGAACATGTGTTCGTGTGACTTTTATTTACCCACATTTTGCCTTCTCTAAATTGCTTTGTTGTGATATTTGTCCATTTTTAGTGACATGTCCATTTTATCTGTCTTTTCTATTTTTTTTTTTTTTTCTGAAATCTAGCTTGTCCTTGCTAATATCTTTCCATTGTTCCATATCCCTCTGCCTTTTTCCCTATTGGATTCTTCTTCTAACAAAGCACCTTAAATAGTTATTCAGGAACTCAGAATGTTGTATGACTTATCAAAATCCTAGAAACCTCAGCAAGTTCAGCACATGAAAGTGCACTCAATCCCAAGTCATGAGCACAGTACACATTGAAACTAGTTTCTCACTCTTACACCCGCCAGAGTAGGCACGTTATCAGAGACAAAAATGCAAAGTGTGGTGAGGATGTGGAGGAACTTGAACTGTCAGGTTACTCTGGGAACATACTTAGTTTCAACCATTTTGATAAATGGCTTTCTAGTGTGTACTACAGTCATCAGCACCTGTGACCCTACAGTCCCACTCCTGCCATCTACGTCCAAGAGACATGTATGAACCGAGGATATTGGTGGCCACCTGGGGGACTTTACAGAGAAGCCTTGTTTCAAGCAACCATCATGAGAAACAGCAGAGTGAATGCAAAAAACACGGAGGTGTAAACTAGTTGTGCTAACTTTCTACAATGTTATACACTGACTCAGCAGTACAAAATAACAAACGCTTCATCACGTGGAACATGGGTGAAATTCACATATTCACATGTCATTTTCAACCAGAAACAAAAGAGTACGTACTGTAGGTTTGCATTTATATGGTGTTTAAAAATAAAGTTAAAATGTGTTGATCATGATCAGGGTAGGTACGTCCTGGGGTTACTGCCCGGAAATTAGCTGCATAGCGACTGCCGGGGATTTACATCTGGGTGGTGGTAACAGTGTAAGAAGGCAGCTGTCTGCGCATGTCACATGTGTGCACTGCGCCACGGGTAAAACAACCATCACCTAAAAACTAATGCAAGTAATATCTTTCCATCATGCAAACGTCCATGCTTATTGTCTCCCTGTGAGTCTATCTATATTTTAAATAGAAGTAACTTCAATTTTCTGGGTACAAGAACACGCTCACACTGCTGTCTTTTAACTGGGAAAATCATGATGGCAAATTCTGTAAAAGACATGACAAGAAAGCTGAATTAAAAGTCAAACTCTTTCGAACACTGTTGCCAAAATATCACACAGTACCTTAGCAATCTTGATTCCGAGGTTTGTTTTTTTAATTTTACTTTAAGTTTGGGATACATGTGCTGAATGTGCAGGTTAGTTACACAGGTACACATGTGCCATGGTGGTTTGCTGCACCTATGAATCCATCATCTAAGTTTTAAGCCCCACATGCATTAAGTATTCATCCTAATGCTCTCCCTCCCCTTGCCCCCTACCCCTGACATGCCCCAGTGTGTGAGGTTCCCCTCTTTTTGTCCATGTGTTCTTATTGTTCAACTCCCACTTATGAGTGACAACATGTGGTGTTTGGTTTTCTGTTCCTGTGTTCGTTTGCTGAGAATGATGGCTTCCAGCTTTATCTATGTCCCTGCAAAGGACATGAGCTCTCTCTTTTTTATGGCCGCACAGTGTTCCATGGTGTATGTGTGCCACATTTTGGTTTTGTAAAGACTGGGGTTTTGGCATGGATATAAATGTGGTGGGATGAGGACAGGATCCCTACTGTTTAGGGTGCTGCTGGGGAGAGTGGTGAGAAGAGACAGAGCCCTCAGGTTAGAGGAATGGACATTTGGTTAGACATGGGACCTGGGTGGTCCTCAGGGACAGTCCTGGGGTGGTGTCCCCAGGCTGTAGCTGTGGAGGGTTCCCTCTAAGAGGAGAAGGGACTCTGTACATTGTCCCTGCAGGGCTGGGGATGCAATAGGAGTCTGAAGACGCTGACCTTTGGTTTGGAAGAAATGAACAGGAAGAAAGGTCCACTCTGTGCTGGTGCAGCCACTGCCCGTCCTCAGCCGGGCCTTAGTCCAGCTGCACAGGCAGTGGCTCAGATCAATAGTAAGTCAGGCGGGAAGCTTTAAAACTGAGTTCATCAAGCCACTGACACTCCAGCCCAGGTGCCCCTTATCAGATAAGGGCATTGGCTGCTCACCCAGGGCTGGTCAAGTGGAGGGAAGCGAAGCAGTCATGTGACAGTTTAGAATGTTGCTTTCTAATACAGATGGGTGTTACAAAGCCTAATACAGTTAGGGGTCAGTTGGCTGCAGGGGTCCCTTGTAACCAGCTCATCATTGGAAACGTGTAGCCCATGGCAGCTGACTGTGACGCTGCTATGAAAGGATTGTCCTGTTGTGAATCACCCTCGTCTTTCCAAGGGGCTTCATTTGAGGTAAACCACATCCTGTTTGGGGTCTAGGATGGAAAGGAAGAGACAGGGGCTGGGTCTTGTGTCCAAGCTCTTTTCTGGGCTCAGGTATCTAATCCAGGACATCAGCCCTCCCACAGAAACCTTGGGTCAGGACATCTTGAGAGTCAGGGGAGTTCATATTTTGGGGGGTCTAGAGCACAATCTGGAGGTCTGGAGTGTGAAGACATCTCTGGCCCCGAGGCCTCAGGTACGTTTCTTCCCCAGGTGCATCAAACAGCAGTGTGGTGACTGCAAGGTCACATGCCTTTAGGAGAATTTCTTCCACCTGTGAAGCGCGGGCCACTACTCCTGCTCTGCCCACCCTCGGGACTGACGTGGGCATCACAGGAGATGATCGTATGTACTGTCCGTGCGCTGTAAAGCCTCTCACACAGGCAAATGAAGAAAAGCCAACCTCCACCCTCCCCTGCCCTGGAGCATCCATGTCCCCTCTCTGGTCACCCACTGTCAAGTGCCTAGCTTCTTCTCCCAGGCATTTAATGATGGAGGAA